GTTAGGTTAGGTTAAATGCACAACTTCTTCGAACTTATTATAATACTGCAAAACCAATCAGTGTTCAATTAAGGCCGGGTAGCAGAGAAAATGGCGAAAATGAGGTTTTCATTATTCATTTTTGAAGTACTAATTACCTACCTACTTTAGCAGAAATACCAAGCCTTAACTGGAAAATGAGGGTTTCAGTTTCTTCGAAATCGTATCGTAAACAGTCAATTCAGGTAGCGAGTAGGTAACATCAAAGGTCCGATTGCTATTAGGAAATCGCTTTCTGACAGTTCCTGAGAAGTACCTAACCCTACGTCTGGATGCGGGCAGCGCAGGACCGTTCATTGTGGAAAACCTTGGGGGAGGCCTTTGTCCAGCAGTGGACGTCATTTGGCTGAAACGAACGAACGAACGAACGAACGAACGAACCTAACCCTATTTATTTATTTATTTTATTTTAAACTTAAATGCACATAAAACATTGTACATAAGGCGGATATCTATCTTACATAAAATATATTTATTAGGTGTATTTTACGTTTATATCATTATAAATCATATCGAAATTATAAGAACGTAGCGAAATATTCAACAGCGTCAAGATGAAGGAAGAAATTACGAGTATATTTTATTTTATTTAGTAGTAAAAAGACGTAATATAATATCTAGTGATCTTCATTAGGTAGTAGGTAGGTATTTTCAATATCTGGATCATTTTAATTGCCAGAAGTGGTACTAGATTTCTATTCATTAATATTAATCTAGAACGTCCTCAGTATGACGGACATTATCATCCTACTTAATTTGGACCTAATAAAAGAGTACTTTTTAATGAAAAGCGTATTCCATCATAAAAATGATAAAAATATAATTCCAGTTTTCTTCGTGAATATTATTCGATACGACATTCTAACAAAACAAAGCTCAGTGATATTCTAAATGCAGAAGCATGTGCAGTATTTCAAAATGATACTTTGTATTTTCCATTTTAAACAATAGCAATGACGTGTGTCTTATTAACGCTCACATAAAATAATATTTCAACCGAGCTGTACAGAGTTTTAATTTAAAAATAACAGATTTAATTTTAATGGAAAGTTGTTATCAAAGGAATATTTAAACACGTTTGCCTCCGGTTTCAGTTTCCACACGCTGCTAACAGGAGTAAACGATGACTCGGAATTTTCAACCAAAATTGCGGACCAGATTGGTAAAAGGGTGTGTTCACAGTATTTGACATGCAGGGTTTGATGCAGACCGTCCCATTCGCAAAACACTCAGATAAAGCTTACTATTTTTAAAACAATATATCGTAACTCAACATGTAGGCTGAAAATATTGTTATTAAATACATATGTTTTGTAGTAGCAGTAGTGAACGTCCTGTGACTGAAATGATGACGATGATGATGACCACTTTGCGAATGGAAAAAAATGAACGACCTTTTTTGAATTCGTGACGTTTAAATGCAAATGGAACGGTCTGCGTTATACTCGGCATGCATGGGCCGTGCCCATTACCTGCGATATCAAGTATGCAATAGGTACACATTGCGCTGGGTAGGTGGGCTTCCCCGTGGTTAATACAAAATACACACGTATGGAGCACGTGTTCACCCCACGCTTGGGTCGTGCTATTGTTAATCAACGTTAAGGGGGAATAGTTGCAGCTTCGTCACCAGAAGACTGATATGTTACACTTTATTGGACAAGTTTAATTTCTTTTACATAGCAAACTTATGCCGTCAATACAACCTTTAATGGTTTCAAAACATAAATGATTGGCAGAAGGACTCAATATTTACTTCCACGAATTTCCAACAGTATATTCCCAAAAACGCCTTTCATCCGGCGTCCTAATAATTTAGCCTCGCTATTAATTCGTACCCCGAGGCAGTGTTACAAGAGTAAAAGCTTTTACCCGTCTTTTACCCTGTAATTATAGCTGTCTTTGATTATCTAGTGTTTGGAGAGTGAAGGTAAAGGTAGGACTGTACAAGTAGACCCATCGGCCGTTGATCCAAGGGTACCGTGCCGGGTGACTGGATAGCAATAGATTGGAGTGCCGGGCGGAAGAAAAAAGGTAATATTGAGGTTCTTTGTATAGGGTTATTTATTTGTTTGACCTCTGGACGAATTTCTTCCGAGTTATCGTTTTTTTCTTTTTCTGGGTGAATTCTTGCTAATTAAAGTCGAGGGAGTAAATTATCCGATTAAGCTATATTGTAGATACGGAATGCAATTTATTACTAATTGTCATCACTATTGTCTGCGGTAAGCCGATTGAATGATCTCTCTAGGATTGTCAAACTTTATTTTCACGACAAAGTTAGGATATCTGCGATATGTTGAAATGATTAGAACAGTTGACATGGATTTACGTTTATTTTTTTATTCGTTTATTTTCGAGCTCACCTATTGTTAAAAAACAAATGGCATACAAACTTTTCCCTCTATTGCATACCTCGTTTTTCCAAAACTGTACCACATTTGATGCAGAAGACAATAAATACTTAATGAGCTGGGCTAGATCCCTTACTCATGTTATTTTGTAATTGGCAAACGTAGCTGCCGAAACAATTTATTTATTTATGAATAGAACGGTAGTACCAATTGCACTATTGAAATAAACATAACAAATTTCAGAATAACATTATATTATTATGTTATATTATATATTATTACTTTATTATATTATATCCTCCTTGGACATTTTACACTGCGCTTCTAGTCCCAAACTAAGCAAAGCTTGTACTATGGGTACTAGACAACGGATATAAACATACTTACCTCAATACTTTTTTTTGTAAATAAAACACCCAGTCCAATACAAACAAATAATATGTTCATGCATAATAAACATGTAATAATAAACACTCTCATATTAGGCATAGGCACGCGGCGTTCTTGAACTTAACTTTAGGACTCTAGGCACGTATGTAAATAAGTTAGAGCAAAGTAAAATAGCATCCTTTCCGCAAGCGGCAGATCTGCAGAAAGCTGAAATCTTCGAACATTTGGGGGTTAGAGTACATAAACTTTGGGAAACTCATGGCTTGTTAATTTGCAGCATTAATATAGAACTTAATCCCATGTAGTTGTATCAACTGATAACTTCTGATAAGGTTCTAATGAGATGTGCATTAAGGGTAATTTGTAGTGCTGTTTTAGGTATGTTTGTTTATGTGGACTTTGTTCAGTTATATACAGATTTATTATTATCGAGATAAAGACGGCCTTTATGGGACTGCGTTCAATAACTACCTTCAGTTGAAAAAAAAAGTATCACAACCATATAAAATTCGTGCATGTGTCAAGCTCGTGTCAAATGTTCTTTTTGTCATATCTGTAACACAACGCAATCAAAACGCCCCAAAAGTTCTGCAAAAATGCGGCCCGCGTACAAAAAGACCGACAAAATATTTTCGGTACAATATTATTCATCCTGGGATGGGTAATAAAATAAAGCAGCTGTTAGCGCTCAAACGACGGATTTAATTTATGTTAACAGCGCACACTTTATAAACACGGCGTGTCTGTACCACTTCAGAAAGGTGGCAGTGGCATCGCCACTTGGAGGCAAAGGTGTCCGACGAGGCAAATGGAAAATGTGTGCAAGCGAAGCATGAGATCGTTCTCTACTGAAGAGTTGGAAATACGAGTATGAAAAAGAACTGAAAATTGGCTATTTATAAGTTTCACTACATATTGTAAAACAAAGTTGGTTATCTCTCTGTCCCTATGTATGCTTAATTCTTTTAAACTACGCAACGAATTTTGATTCGTTTTTTTTTATTAGTCAGAGTGATTCAAAAGGAAGATTTTTAATTATGTACCTGTGCGAAGCAGGGGCGGGTCGCTATTTTTATGATAAAATGCTATTTAAAGAGAGACCTCTAACCAGATAACATAGACATACAAATTATTCGATTTCAGCTGCCGCAAAATGGCTTATTATATTAAAATAAATGGTTTTCTTTTTTGCGTAACGCCAGCTTGGAGTTTTGAGAGTCTATTGAGTTTGATTAAACGAATTTTCCTAGTTTGGTAAAGACGTTATCGGACGCTTGGTTATTATATTTGACACGTATTTCTCTTCGTAGAAGAAAATTAAATTTTAATATTGTTTGGGCATACTAAGATATTCTGATATGAATCATCAATATCACAAATTAATCATGAAATCACCGCATCTCTTTATCCGGTTGTATCCCTCATTTATTAAAATTGTCACGTATTCTGATGAATTTACAATTTCAATGAAAAATTACCATTTGCTTTGATGAAATCAGCGGGGTGTCGAACTGCGGCAAATCGATTTGAGCTGTACGTTTTTGAAACTCGATTATACTTGGTATGTGGCGAAGTGACATGACAATATGTATGTAAAATACATTTCTCGTGCAAGCAACTTTTGTTTTTGTTTGTTTAAATTTAAAGATTACAAGTCAATTTGATGATTCGTCTTATTTATCTGATGTATAGGTAATAACAGTGTTAGAATGAAAAATCTGAAGAATACCTCCGTAGATGTGACGCGTATGACATTTTTCTATTATGATAATATTGACATTTTTCCTATTGGTTTGCTGCTGCATGCAATGAGTTTTGTGGAGAAATAACAGGTTTAAAATATTTTTGGAACAAGTGAGTTGCCATGTTATGAAAAGAACACAAAACTGATACTGAAGAGGATATTTACCTGCTATTCAAATTAAACGTTTAGCAAACATAGAGTCACCTTAAACTAATTTATTAGTACGATTATACCCTATGATTATTTTGAGAAGCTCGTAAAAAGCATTTGTATTTTTATTTATTTATTTAACATACACAATAAGATAGAGTCAAGACATTTTTATAAAAAGTATTGTCAAGTTTATCTCCATAAAGACATTTCTTCATCAAGTAAATCAAAACATTCAATGTGTTCTTATTTCGCAGTATCACGAACGTTCTACATAATGTTATCAAGAAAATCGAAACATTCAAAGTGTCCTTCTTTCGCAGTGTCACGAACATATTCCTGGTGAACCTGTCAGCTGCAGACCTGCTGGTGACCGGCGTGTGCATGCCCATCCAGCTCAGCAAGGCCATCACGCTCGTCTGGTTCTACGGGGAGACGGTGTGCAAGATCGTCAATTATATTCAAGGTTATTATTACTATTTTACGTCCCCTTTGCATGTTATTCCACCTAATTATAAGCAGACCGTAACCCGCTACGGCGGGCCGGGGGTCCTGTTGAACCAGGGCCGCGAGGAGAAAACCTCTATAAAAACAACTGGAGGAGGGGATTGGGGGTTCCCTCGAAGCCTAGCCTGAGGCGGAACTGCGGACAAATGTCCAAATAGGACAATAACTCGCGGCTTCGTTCCTTTGGGTTCTGGTGGAAACCGCCGGGTTTTAGTGCGTAGGCCCCGCTTTTAGTGGGTAGGCGGGGAGAGTCCCATATAAGCCACTGGCCGTCCCCATCGACCAGTGGGTATGCGCAAAGCATTTCCAGACGTAAAAAAAGCAGACCTGCTGGTGACATGTATAAGCATGCGTATCTAGCTCAGCAAGGTCATCACGTTGGTCTGGTTCTACGAGGCGAAGGTATGCAAGATTGTCAATTACATTCAAGCTTAGGTATACTGTTTTCCTACGCGACCCCTATGCAGTAAATAATGCCATACCATCTAAACATAAGCAGACCTGCTGGCGACCGGCGTGTGGACGCCTATCCAGCTCAGCAAGGTCATAACCCTCGTCTGGTTCTACGGGGAGACTAGACGGTGTGCAAGATTGTCAATTATATTCAAGGTTACTACTAGATTTCCTTTTTAGGGTTCCGTACCTCAAAAGGAAAAAACGGAACCCTTATAGGATCACTTTGTTGTCCGTCTGTCCGTCCGTCTGTCAAGACCCTTTTTCTCAGGAACGCGTGGAGGTATGAAGCTGAAAGGACAATGACCAAAAATGTATGGAGTGTGGTCCAAATGTCCACCACTAACGAGAACTATGTAGTAAAATAGTCTACTAAATACTGATTCATTATAACCAAACCGCAATCAAAAATATGCTGTCAGTAAAAAGTTATGACTGAATGAAAAGTCATGTTTTTTACCTTTTCATCCGAAAAATGTTCTTGATATCATTCTATCCATCGCACATTTTGGATGAATCTATGCATATTATGTCATGTCGCTTAGTGTGCCGTGTTAGATACTCGCTAAAAGAAAAAAAATAAGCTCAGAAGAAAGACAACAATATTGGAATTATGGTCGGGTGGCCGCTGCTCCGCCCCTATTGGTTGTAGGGTGATGTTATATAACCTAAAACCATCCTTGATAAATGGGCTATCCATAACAAAAATAATTTTTCAAATCGGACCAGTAGTTCCTGAGATTAGCGCGTAAACTACTACAATTTTTCATACGGTCATAACTTTTTACTGACAGCTTATTTTTTTTTCGTCCCATACTGAAAGTTGATCTCTATTTAATGGACTATAAGCCAATATAGGTCTCATTAGTGGTGGACATTTGGACCACTTTTGGTCATTGTCCTTTATATCAATTACTCAAGTCTACTGTCCCTTGAAGCTGTGAAAAAATCAAACTTCTAAGCCAACGCAATCAAAAGATACAGCCGTTTATGCCGCAAATTTTCGACACTTGCAAGGGAATCAAAACCTACAGGGTGCTTCCCGTGAACTCAGAATGTTGAAATTTGGTACGAAGCAACNTTTGTTCAGTTATATACAGATTTATTATTATCTAGATAAAGACGGCCTTTATGGGACTGCGTTCAATACCTACCTTCAGTTGAAAAAAAAAGTATCACAACCATATAAAATTCGTGCATGTGTCAAGCTCGTGTCAAATGTTCTTTTTGTCATATCTGTAACACAACGCAATCAAAACGCCCCAAAAGTACTGCAAAAATGCGGCCCGCGTACAAAAAGACCGACAAAATATTTTCTGTACAATTATTCATCCTGTAAACAACGGGATGGGTAATAAAATAAAGCAGCTGTTAGCGCTCAAACGACGGATTTAATTTATGTTAACGGCGCACACTTTATAAACACGGCGTGTCTGTGCTCCACTTCAGGAAGGTGGCAGTGGCATCGCCAAAGGTGTCCGACGAGGCAAATGGAAAATGTCTGCAAGCGAAGCATGAGATCGTTCTCTAGTGAAGAGCTGGATATACGAGTGTGAAAAGGAACTGAAAATTGGCTATTTATAAGTCTACATATTATTGTAAAACAAAGTTGCTTTCCTCTCTGTTCCTATGTTCCTCTGTTTTACCTATACCTACGCAACGGATTTTGATACGGTTTTTTTCTATTAGATAGAGTGGTTCAAGCGGAAGATTTTTAAGTATAATAGATGTACCTGTGCGAAGCAGAGGTGGGTCGCTAGTTTTATGATAAAATACTATTATTTGTCGACATTAGAAAGTCCTCTAAACAGATAACATAGACATACAAATTATTCCTTTCCAGCTGCCGCAAAATGGCTTATTATAATAAAATTAATGGTTTTCTTTTTTGCGTAACGCCAGCTTGGAGTTTTGAGAGTCTATTGAGTTTGATCAAACGAATTTTCCTAGTTTGGTAAATATATTTTCGGACGCTTGGTTATTAAATCTGACACATATTTCTCTTCGTAGAAGGAAATTAAATATTGATTGGGCTTAATAAGATATTCTAATATGAATCATCGATATCACAAATTAATCATGAAATCACTGCATCTCTTTATCCGGTTGTTTCCCTCATTTATTAAAATTGGCACGTATTCCGATATCCCGTTTACAATTTCAATGAAAAATTACCATTTGCGTTGATGAAATCAGCGGGGTGTCGAACTGCGGCAAATCGATTTGAGCTATACGTTTTTGAAACTCGATTACACTGGGTATGCGGCGAAGTGACATGACAATATGTATGTAAAATACATTTCTCGTGCAAGCAACTTTTGTTTTTGTTTATTTAGAATTTAAAGATTACAAGTCAATTTGATGATTCGTCTTATTTATCTGATGTATAGGTAATAACAGTGTTAGAATGAAAAATCTGAAGAATACCTCCGTAGATGTGACGCGTATGACATTTTTCTATTATGATAATATTGACATTTTTCCTATTGGTTTGGTGCTGCATGCAATGAGTTTTGTGGAGAAATAACAGGTTTAAAATATTTTTGCAACAAGTGAGTTGCCATGTTATGAAAAGAACACAAAACTGATACTGAAGTGGATATTTAGCTACTATTAAAATTAAACGTTTAGCAAACATAGTCACCTTAAACTAATTTATAAGTACGATTATACCCTATGATTATTTTCAGAAGCTCGTAAAAAGCATTTGTATATTTAATTATTTAACATACACATTAAGAAGACATTTTTATAGAAGTATTGGCGAGCTTATCTCTTTGACATTTCTTCATAATGTTATCAAGAAAATCGAAACATTGAAAGTGTCCTTCTTTCGCAGTGTCACGAACATATTCCTGGTGAACCTGTCGGCTGCAGACCTGCTGGTGACCGGCGTGTGCATGCCCATCCAGCTCAGCAAGGCCATCACGCTCGTCTGGTTCTACGGGGAGACGGTGTGCAAGATCGTCAATTACATTCAAGGTTACTACTAGATTTGTTTTCTTTTTTCGCCATCTTTGCAGGAAAAAACAAATAACTTTTGATTATCATTTCTATCAGGTGATATGGATGCTAAATGTGAAAGCGCTTTCATATAAAATGACATTATTTTACCTATAGGTACGATATTTCGAAATTTCTGTAGACAGAACTTTCACTCAGTGGAACACGACGCGATGTCCTGGTGAAGGTCGCGGGAAGTATCTGGATGCAGGCAGGATTCGCACAGGATGTTTTTTGGTTGAATGTATTGAACAAATTATATTATTTCAGTACTTGTTGGTTCCAGTCTAACACTAGCTTTATAAAATATACCTCTGCAAAATAATTTTGCCGATAACTTTTCAATTCAATATCTGTCTCGCACATGCATATCGGAATAAAAAACAGGTTGGGAGTAACTGAATACGTAAAAAGCTCTCTTTATTTGTAGCCTCGGGCATTTTTGTGATTAGTTACTAAAAATAGATACTATTACTGATGATTTAGGCCACATACACGTGGACGCGGAGACCGCACTGAGCTAAAACAGGACGCAAAGTTGCTTTTCGCGTGCATAATTTACGAACACGTGGAATGAGAAGCTTACCAATAGTGCTAGTAATCGCTAACTAAAAGCTGGTGACAAAGTTATTTACAAAACATTTACAAAGAGAGTAAAAACAAGCATGAAAAATAATTTATCTCTGAAGCAATCATTGCTTTTTATTTAGATTTGCTTCATTCTAGCGCGAAGTTTTGGCTGCATGCATGAGCATTGTCGTTTTGGTTGTAGAGTCCAAGATTTACGTTAAAAAAATAGCATCCATTACATAAAAGATATCATATAGTTTTAGCCTAATGTGCCGTCGTCCGTACAAATTACAGGCACTTACAAAACCGAAGGCCCGCATTTTTACACGATGGTATAAAATAAATCTACAATGACAAATGAAAAGTCATTAAGGTAAACGCTATGGTATTAATGCAGTTTTGTAACAAAATTTAATTTGGATTTAACGTTGACTATACGAGGTCGCGGACGCGATTAATTCAGAAATAATCACAATTTTGCTCAATTGAAGAAGATCAAAAGAATTTCATAAAAATAACAGGTTACCCAGGTATGCCATTTGTATTTCTTTGCGATTTATTTTTTAGCAAACAGATTTCTGCTGCGAAATGTAGATACTCATCTCCGTTTATCGTTCGTCATTTGTCAGAGTACGCGCCGAGCATTCATCATCCACCCCTTTCAAGGCACTCGGTTGGGCGCGAAAAGCTATCATTTCTCAAAACACAATAATATTTTGTTTACTTGTTGACATGACGGGTTATTCATGGGGATTGTGGATGTTTAAGAACAGATTTAGGCTGAATTGCACCAACTTACTTTAGCTTTAACAAACGTCAAAAATCTGTCAAACTCCATACAGAAAGCACTGGTTATCGTTATAGTTACCGTTAAAGTTAGGTGATGGAACTCACCCTTATAGTTTATTTATAAGGTGTTTTTAAGGCTGGGTTGCACCATCTTACTTTGACTTTGACAAACATCAAAAATCTGTCAAACACCATACAAAAATATCGGTTATCGTTATAGTTACGATCAAAGTTAGGTGGTGCAACTCAGCCTAAGTATATCAACAACAAGTCGTCACAAATCACCCATTATTATAAATATACGAAGTAAAAGTTATTAGTTAAGATAAAAATATCTAAATCACCATCATCATCATCATCATCTCAGCCATAGGACGTCCACTGCTGAACATAGGCCTCCCCCAATGCTTTCCATGTTGCCCGGTTGGTAGCGTTTGTGTCTAAATCTATTAAAAGTCTATAAATAAATTCTGATCGTAATCGCCATCCTGTATCTCAAAACTTATTTTATAAGAAATACATTAACGGACTTTTCCCCCTCGGTATATTAGGTACTTATTATTATAATTTTTCGTTACAAAATTACAGTTAATGGAGTAAAGTGAAGACATTTCAATACTAATAACGTAAGTAACGTAGGAGGGGCAAATCAAATTCAATGTTTGCTTAAGTCTGTAATGTAAGAAATTGTATTATTGACGGACAAAATTACGTTTCCGTCTATAAATAGATTTTATGAGTTCTATTTACCTGAATAATCCTCGCCTGAGGCTCTGGCGATCAAGATTTTGGTTTGCGTAAAATTAACACAGGGTCTCACTCATTCATGGAAAACATACATAAAATTTTACTCGTAATAATTATTGGAGCGCACCGGAAGGAAAATTATTCAAATATTAACTTCATGTTCCACGAAATCATTTATTTGAACTGTAACCACTTTACTGGATTGGAGACCACAAATAGATTTCAGGTTAATTTTGGAAATGAAATCTGAACTTCTATGATTAATTTACTTTTCACTTGTACCTACTATAGATAGGTAACAAATTGCAGGTTTTAGTTAATTAAATTAATCTATACTTATAATAAACCTGTAGCGAGGTCAATTCTGTACATGAAATATATTTTCAAAATAACTATCAGGGGGTGATTAGTGATCGATACTGATGCTAAAAATGCAATCAGTAAAATGTTTGTCTTTCTGTCTGTCTGTCTGTATGTTCCTTATAGAAACAAAAACTACTCGACGGATTTTAACAAAACTTGGTACAATTATTCTTCATACTCCTGGGCAGGTTATAGTATACTTAGGAATTCCCACGGGAACGGGAATTAGCGGAAAAATTCTTTTGTATGAAAAATCTAAACCGCTTAAGTTAGACGCTTGAAAAGATTTGTTTTTTTATTACAAAATAGTGTAATAAACCAAACTTACTATGACATGTATACCTCTAAACTCAGTCTGAACTGAGTTACGAGCGTTAGAAGTTTGATGATTTTCATACTAGATTTGCTTTTTGCGCGCAAGTTTTGTAAGAAATTGCAACAAAATAGTGATATTGTGTGTGTAAACAAACAATACCATCCATTAAAGGCTCCAGTGTTGTGTTGAGGGTTGAGGGGTTTGTACAAAAACGCCACAATGTCGGTCCGCCTGCAGGATCGGGACTCGAAACCTATCCAGTTGCAGCGAGGGGTAAGACAGGGAAACGTCATATCTCCAAAACTGTTTACCACCGCCCTGGAAGATGTCTTCAAGCTTCTGGACTGGAACGGATTTGGCATAAATATCAACGGCGAGTACATCACCCACCTTCGATTCGCGGACGATATCGTAGTCATGGCTGAGACCTTGGAGGATCTAGGCACAATGCTCGATGGCCTCAGTAGAGCATCTCAACAAGTGGGCCTCAGAATGAACATGGACAAGACAAAAATCATGTCTAATGTCCGTGTTGCACCCTCTCCTCTGAAGGTTGGAGACTCTACACTCGAAGTTGTTGACAATTATGTATACCTGGGACAAACAGTCCAGTTAGGTAGGTCCAACTTCGAGAAAGAGGTCAATCGTCGAATCCAACTCGGATGGGCAGCGTTCGGGAAGCTTCGCCATATACTCACGTCCGAAATACCGCAGTGTCTTAAGTCGAAAGTATTTGACCAATGCGTGTTGCCAGNGGTAACAATATGTTGTTTTTTTTTTGGTTGTTTTTTTATTACAAAATAGTGTAATAAACCAAACTTACTATGACATGTATACCTCTAAACTCAGTCTGAACTGAGTTACGAGCGTTATGGTGGCCATACACGTTAGGGTTTGCATGATGGTTACGACCGTACATGCTTAACCAACAGGTATAACCGAGTTATCTATAGCACATACACGTTAGGGTTTGCATATACAATCTAAATTTAACTCAAAGGTGACTGGCTGACTGACATAGTGATCTATCAACGCACAGCTCAAACCTAGCAGTAACATTAAGATTTCTAGCAACAGGAAGAACACATGAGTGTCTTAAATATTCACCACCATTCACTGCCACAGACTATAGGAGACTGAGAGAAAACTGTGCATGCAAGCATGAGCGGGCGCACACACGCTCGGTTATGCATGTGCGCAAACATAACCGAGCGGCAAAAATATCTTTTTTGATATTCGTTAGGTTGCATGTACACGCACCAATAACTGTACAGTTTTATAACATACACGCTAGGGTTTGCATGTCGGTTAAGCATGTATGGTCAAAACCATCATGCAAACCCTAACGTGTATGGCCACCATTAGAAGTTTGATGATTTTCATACTAGATTTGCTTTTGGCGCGCAAGTTTTGTAAGAAATTGCAACAAAATTGTGACATTGTGTGTGTAAACAAACAATACCATCCATAAAAGGCTCCAGACATCAGTGTGGAGCAGAATCAGCGCAATAAAAAAATAGCGCAATATTTTGTTGCAATTTCTTACAAAACTTGTGCGCAAAAAGCAAATCTAGTATATAAATCATCAAACTTCTAACGCTCTTAACTCAGTTCAGACTGAGTTTAGAGATATACATGTCATAGTAAGTTTGGTTTATTACACTATTTTGTAATCAAAAAACAAAGTTTGGTCGATGGCCGCGCGAAAAAAAAAGACGCCACCTTCCATACAAAATCTGGCATTGCCATTTGGCATGCAGGTACCTTAGTAAACTTGAAGCTTAGTTACAACAGGATATAGCAAAATTCCCACGGGAACGGGAGATAGCGGGAAAAAACATTTGTATGAAAAAATCTTAACCGCGTAAGATAGATGAAGGGGGTAAAACGGGATCCATATGTACGAACTCGCGGGCGGCCGTTAGTAATAAATATTTTGATAACAATTGTTTGTTTTGACATCGGTGATCAAAATATCATTGTTTATAAAAGAATTCGCAGCGCGAACCAAAACGCTAAAGCGCTGTGTTAACTACCGTACTTACTGAAGTAGTAAATTGCTATGAGGTAGGTACTTACTTCTTTAATATAAATGTTTAAATAGGTTTTAATCTATTTTCCAATGTAATTTTTATTTCAAACACGGCCTCCTTCTAACCCGCGCGACACTGGCCACCAAGAAAACTGCTTTCTTTTTTTCGACGACCAATAACGATGTTCTTTTGTTTTTATTTCGCGCTCTCGACTGTTTCATTTTCACGCAGTACAATTTCCACGTCTCTTATTTTGTAAATAATAATTCTTAATAATTATGATGTAGTATTAAAACTTTTTCATCACATAACGGGTATTATAGCGCAATGATTTGAGGACATCAACACAAGTAAAGAAGTACTTATCTGTATAAGCTGTCTGCTCTGACGCCTTGCGCTGTTTAGCACATTGAGCGACTAAACTAATTCTTAAATCACGTGTAAAGTACTAAAGACTCGCGAGTGGCGATCGCGGGCTGGAAGACGTAGCGTGGCCTCCCACTAGGTGGACCGACGATCTGGTAAAGGTCGCAGGAAGAGCCTGGATGCGGGCAGCGGAGGACCGGTCGTTATGAAAACTCATGGGGGAGCCTTTGTCCAGAAGTATACGTCATTTGGCTGAAACCTTAGATTAATAAAACATAGATAGTCAGTACACGAAAGGTGAGGAAGATTTAATTTTTAGGGAGCCAGAATGGCTCACCCGTAAACGTCACTTGAACTGTCAAAGTGAAAAATAGGTAAACACGTCCGACAAATTTTAATTAATTATGACGGTTTGTGCAGTGAATATTTCATATACTACTTAAAGAACGAATACTTCAGATTAAAGAAAGAAAGTGACCAGTGTTACATTTCACAAGTAAGTACTACAATTCGACGCGTATTTTACTTGAATTTGGTTTTCAAAAATTAAATACGGCAATGATACCAGTAACAAGAAAATAAATTTCCCAATTGTTCGCCGTAAAAATACACTTCCTTTTTATAAACTGTTTATTATGTTGTTGTTTATTAAATAAGGTCCTTACCCATGAAATTATTTTTCTTGTATTTTCTTCAATATTCATAAGTACCTAAATAATTTCCTTCATATAATTTTCAAAACAAAATTTGAATCAGTAGTTTCTTAAAAATCGCAAAAATTTTACTATGGAAAAAACATTTTTCGTGGAATTCTCCATACAAAACGCTAATTTCAAGTTTTACAACATAATTTTTATACTGAAGTTTTAGTTTTGTTATTTACTGTGAATTTAATTAATAAGTTAGTACATGATACGTTTTGTTGTTGTAAATAATTTAAAACTTATTAAAAATCTCCCTACTTTCAGGTAAATCGCCTTCATTGTCCACACTCCCCAAAAAAGATGACACTAATGACATAAGATTTTTGCCTCACTCTTGACGAAGCGTTTGTATGAAGACTATCCATCTAGGTTTTATTAATCTAAGGCTAAAACGAACAAATGAACTAAAGACTCCTTTTTCCAGGTGTAGCAGTAGCAGCGAGTGTGTTCACGCTCACCGCGATGTCGGTAGACCGCTGGCTGTCCATCTCGCCCGAGCCGAGGATGCGGCCGCCCGGCAGGCGACAGGCCGTCATGCTGCTCGGCCTGCTGTGGTTCGCGGCGCTGCTCATCTTCATACCCTTGCTGATGGTGGCTGTGGTTCGGAGGGAGACCGTGCCGATCATCTCGAAGGCTTATAAGAATATTTCGGTATGATTTTTTTGTCTATTTGAAGTTATCTTTGCTTTACGCTTCGTGATATCAAGAGAGATGCAGGCCAAGATTTTTGCCGTGGTTGTTTAAAAAACTAATTTTTAATTGTAGTAAAAAAGTCTAAACTATTATGAAGCTCTCTTTATTTTTAGCAAAGTAACTCAAAAACAAGCCACTTAGACAGTAATGGACAATTTAGTTTTACTCTGTTCCGTGATTAATTTCTCATTGAGTGAGCACCTAAAAGTGTTTTATAGCACAATAAAGCTCGAAATATATTTTGCCAAATATTTTTACTTTAAAAGTAATCCAATATTTACCGCACCATCCAAGGCCGCTCTACACTACACAGAAACCCTACTCATCCATTAAAACCTTACTCAATATCACTTAAAAGTTCCAAGAAAACTTTCTTTTTCACTAAAGAAAAAGCCCTAAAAAAATTGCTAAAGCTGTTATCTTATCCTGCAACTTAACGTAGCTTTATACTCGATATAGATACTCGTATCTAAACAACTCGGTATTAGCCATTTCTTTGGCACTTTTACGATAAATTTCAGTTACAAAGCCTGTTTATGTAGGCCTCGATAAATTTCACGGTAAGGCGCTGTTGTTTTAGCTCCAACGTTACTGGTTTCGTGGAATCCCTTTGAATCTATCTATGGAAATAATTACTTTAGTAGATTTGTCTAGTACGTACGTAAGCACCGACCGATTTAAACATAATATTTTTATTTTAGTCCATAAATAGAACAATCAACCTGTAATGTTTTTTGCAAATAACTTTGTTTAAAATTAGCCGACTCTATAATTAGGATGTGTACCTTATTTTTTCCCGGTCAAACATTGTCCAATAACAAAAAGAAATCAGACAAATTGGTCTAACCCTTTCTCAATTAATTAATACAGATAATTGCGGTACAAACCATTGATGGATTAATTAATGAACAAGACGTGAAATGGCAAAGGGGGTGAGATGCTATAATGGTACATTTTAATTGCTTTATTACAGCTTGTATTTAACCCTTCATTTTGTAATGATTTATAAATAATATTTTAGTTTGTATTATAAACGCTACTTTCATTTATCTGAGGGTGAAATCTACGAGTAGGTATATCAATAAACTCTCAATCGATAATGGGAGTTTGTTCGCTTTAAGTGTTTTTAAAACGATGTTATAAACTATTAACTATAATCATTTATCTTATTTACTATGTACCTACGTTTTTTTATTTTTTTATGCTAGACAAGGCAGGTATTTGACCGCAATCGTTATGGGGCGCTTAGATAACATAAAAGCCAGACGAATGGCGAACAGGTAAGGACAGTCTTGAGACTAGACTTTAATTATATATGTTACTTATTTGTTTATCTTTTTGAGATTCTCGCCTAGAGGTATATTTAGTTATCGTCTTTAACTATCTACTCTATAAACTCAAAAAACTTTACCCAGTTAAGTAAAAAGTAGCAGTTTATGTACATAATATATTGTCTTAACCAAAGTTATATTATCCGCAAATGTTTTTGTTACTTTCTTAGTAACAAAACTAATTAAAAGTTTGGGTTTCAAAATTAATGTTCTGTCTCAAGTAAGCGCTTCAGAATATTCTATTTATAGTTTCCAAAGATTTTCGGCGCAATACTTTACTATAAATACATACAAAATAGACAGGTGTTACCCGTTCTTGCTGAACATTTATAAATTTTTCATCTCATATTACAAAGGTGATGCGATCATGATGGAGCGAGTTTTCTTCCCAGAAATTACCTATGCATAATATGTTACTTAGGTTTTATGTATTGGGAAAGAATGACGTTATCACAAAATACCATTCAAGTGTGAGCAAAATAATATGAGATAATATGAGTATTTCAACCGTTCATGGATGGTATATCATCCTGCAGTATTATTATTTTCTAGCGGCCCCTCGCGACTTCGTAAGCGTGGATCCCGTTTTACCCCCTTACAGGTGGAGTTTCGTAAAATCCTTTCTTAGCGGATGCCTACGTCATAGCATCTACCTGCATGCCAAATTTCAGCCCGATCCATCCAGTGGTTTGGGCTGTGCGTTGAAAGATCACTATGTCAGTCAGTCAGGCAGTAGGTCACCTTTGAGTTGTTATATATTTAGTTTTTAAGTATAGGTGAAATCGAAGCAGCTTCATAAGTGCGAATACAATAATCCAGTGGTTTTCAGCAAAGGACCATGGCTGTGGTCCGAATTTACGGCTAAAGTTTTTGTCTTCCTGCCTACGCTGCCTTACACACAGGATAACCAAAAGTTTATATTAAGTAATAATGATTTATTGCCTTTCCAAACCAGCCAACTTTTTTCTAAGTCGGTTAAGTCCAACAAGGATATCTAATAAAGGTTCGCTTGACTTGGCAAGAATTTACCAACTTCCTGTTGAAACTTTGCGCAACACAAATGTATTTAGTAAACCTGAAGTTGTTGTTTTAAAAGATTTCAACCGGATTTAAGCGAGCTCCGGGGTTGTCTTTATCATTGCTAGCTTTACTTTTAATTAAAACTGGATTTACAAAATTTGCGACCATGTTCTAAGAAGAACGCGCTTGCTGGATAAAACTTATGTATAAGATTTCAAACTTTCGCGTTCCATTTCAACTAAAATAGAGTAGCAAGGGTCTCAACGTTTCGTGTTTCTCTATTTTAGTTAAAACTTATGAAACACTAATATCTGTATTACTCAGTAAATTTTAATAGTGGCATGTTTAATTTTTGCGAAAATCTTCACGTAGGTCTATAAATGCAAAATTCTAATAACTATAAAAGTGACTGTTTCATCTTTACGTTACACAATAAGTAACTGCGCGTAGGTTGTAATATAAAACGTGAAGCAAATTTTAATTGGCTCAGTGTAAAAATTGTGTGTTGCTCAGAGCAGTCGGCCGAGAAATAAAGGTCATGGGTTGAAGGAAGCCTGAGGCAGTAAATTAAAGGAAGTAAATAAATGCGTTTACATCGCATCTGGTTGTCGTGTAGGAAAGTGGACCAAGTTATGTCTACTTTGGTATCTTCTCTATCCATATTGTTTTAAACTTTCATGGTCACTAACATTACAATTATTATTATTTACGGTGTATGAGCCCTTGACTGGTCCATACATTAAATTGATGTATCTTGGGTGATCTTGATAATAACAACACTCGAAGACTTGAAATACTTGATTTACTGTTTCGACTTGATACAATGATGTAATATGTGTGCACACTAATAAAGGTAGCAGTGAACTATTCGTAGATTTAACACAATAAATAATGTCAACTAGCAAAGCGTAAATAACATTTGGTTTTATGCTTGCTTGCAATAAACTGTACTTTGTACATACGGGTTTGCTACCATGTACCTTTTTATTTACAAGCCTCCGGTATTTCAATCAAGTAAACCCGTTAATAATAATTCTTCTCTATCCAGTTATGAGCTAGGTGCTATTTACAACCAAAATCTACATATTGCAGTGCTGTAGTCTGTAAATATTTTGATCAGGCAACATAAAAAGACGGGAAAACATGCGTCAACCCTCGTCATCTAAATATGGCTTAGGACTTAGCAACGATTTAGGACCAAAACAAAAGCAATTTTACGTCACTCTCAAACTGGATATTCATAAACACTAAAGTCAACCTTACGAAATGTTAGAAGCGTTAGCAACTGGATCTGGGAAAAACTATAATGTTCTATTTATAACATAACACTTTTACTATGTGCTTTTAGGGCTTTTGTAAAAAACAGTATTTGAACGGCTGCCGTTTCTTTGCTGTTGTATAATAGTTGTTTTGTAACATTAGGTTAGGTTAGGTCAGGTTAGGTATTTTATTTTACATAATAGGCAATTTCATGATCGTCGACCCTTCGGAAATGCTTTGTAAATGATAAATCAATGATATAATCCATCTGTGTCCATTATGTTGTGTCCTTTACCTATATCCATATGGGGTGGTTAACTTTAAAGTTTTATTAAGAAATATTCTGAAAAATATATTTTTTTCCAGATAGAAACCCGAGATGTGCACTTTTGTACAGAAGAGTGGCCTGGTCACGACACCAGGAAGCAGTTCGGGACCTTTAGTTTTACCATTGTATACGCAATACCAGGTAAGTGTACAAAACTACTTCCAATTGTTTTTATGTACCTATTAGGTACCAAAACTAAAAAATACCAACAATTTTGTCAGTGGCGTAGCGTGGCTTTTCGCCGCCCGGGGCCGTCCGGAAATCCGCCGCCCTATAATTTAATTATAAATATTTTAAAGTTTAAATATTATATTGAATGGACTTCAGGTAGGTACACTATTCACCTTATTTGTTGAAAGTCAAAATAAACTACCACGCACTGCTTCAGAAGGAAAATACATTAAAGAGAAGAGAAGCAATGGCTTGAAACCCACAGGAAGTTTGATTTTCTTAAATAGCTCAGCTTTATTATGTAACACTATGTATACAGTGTGAGTCACGTTAAAGTGTACATATGAAAATAGATTAAAATAGACCTATTTTATAGACAAAAAAGAGGTCAAAAATTTTTTGAGACTTTTTTTGAATTTTTTATAGAATTTTTTTTCTTCCAATTACTTATTGTAAAAAAAACCTAATAACTTTTAAACTGAGCGGTATATCCTGATAAAATAAAAACAGTAATAATGCTAAATAACAGACGATACTGAAAAAATACATAAAATACCCAGAAAATGCCAACAAATAATAAAAAATGATAGTTTTTGAAAAAAATGTGCTTAAAAATTCGTGTTTTTTTGGTTATTTGATAAATTTCTCAAAAAAATGCTCCTATAACAGGTGGTTTTTATTACTTTGTATTATTTTCTATCGTATTATCTTTGTAAAACCAAAAATCGCATGTCTCTATCCCTATCACAACATTTGCTATGATCATTTGAACAAAGGCCTGCCACAACATTATTCTCCGCTACAGGTAGAGACAATTTTAATTGTAACTAAAATGCTTATTTTACTTCGAAATCTTTTGTTTTTATTTGAAATCTAACTTGTCTTTATCAAAATTACAAATCTAGAGCCATTTTCAGTTTCGTTGTTAACGAAGCGTTGATTGGCGCGCCCGGAGAGGCTTAGTTCAAGCGATCATTGCAAACGTTGTGATAGGGATAGAGACATGCGATTTTTGGTTTTTACGAAGGTAATACGATAGAGAATAATACAAAGTAATAAAAACTCCCGGTTATAGGGGAATTTTTTGGAGAAATTTATCAAATAACCAAAAAAACACGAATTTTTAAGCAAATTTTTTTTCAAAATGTATAATTTTTTATTATTTGTTGGCCTTTTTTGTGTATTTTTTTAGTATCGCCTGTTATTTAGCATTATTACTGTTTTTATTTTATCAGGATATAACGCTTAGTTTAAAAGTTATTACGTTTTCTTTACAATAAGTAATTGGAAGAAAAAATTTTTTATAAAAAAATTAAAAAAAATCTCAAAAATTTTTGGACCTCTTTTTTGTCGATAAAAATAGGTCTAGTTTCATCTATTTTCATATGTACACTTTAACGTGACTCACACTGTACAACAATAAACAATAATAACAAGTATTAAAGTATTTATTTGTCAATTGAGAGTAAATATTATTTTAAGGGACAATATTATTTGATCCTCTAAAAACTAATTGATCTTTTTTATATGTGCACTTTTAAAAATACTTAAATGATGTTTTTTATTATGTTTTATCTTTATATTAATTATTGGGTCTATATTAGTTGATCTACGGATAAATTATGAATGATCTTCATTAAAGGTAACATAATATTTATGTTTATCATACTCTTTTAATATTTGGTAAACAAAAATAATATTTGATCCTCTTTTTTAGTTATTGATCTTTAATTTTATTAATTTGATGATTTTTATATCAAGTTCGCCTTTTAATATTGATCACCTAATAAATACGGGTTAGGTATTATCTGGCCCACCGAAAATCTGGTCCGCGGACCAGTTAATAACTTTTTAAAATACTAGTCTTCATCTCGTCCGAAGGTCCGGGCCAGATAATACCTGTAAAATCACTAGGGTAGGTATAACTCGCCCAATCTATAGTGAGATTTAACAATCTGTTCTTAGTTAAAGGATTCGTGATAAATTGTTAGTTAAATAGCCAAATTCAAATTTCAAGCCCTTAAAATTTTAAACTAGGCAATGACTTCGTGCATCTAAAAAGTGGAAAAAAAAGGTATGTTCACGGTCTATTGTTTATACCATTGAAAAATTTAAAACAACCATCATTTTTATGTTTCAAGTGTTTCATAAAGATTTCAATGGGAGTTTTTGATAGACTTTTTGATGTCAATTATTGCCTATTCTTTTAGCTGTCGAACGAATTTACCTTACTTTTATGCTTATAGGTTCCAGTAAAACCTAAGATCTAACCATTTCGTTGGTAAATCTTAGGATTTACATTAATGGCACGGTAAATGTTGAAAAACAAAACATGTCATAACGTGCTCAGCGCATCTCATCATCATCATCATCATCAGAAATTACTTAAATTGGAAAAAATCGAATCTATCTTAATATTGAAGTTGCCCTCTTTGTATTTCTAGTCGCTCACTTAGTAATGTAGTCGCACGGACAGAATTTTAATATCTAAAATGGATTAAACATAACCCACTTTTTGTAAGCTCGTTCTGCATTTGATGATTAATCAATATTCGTCGTTAGTTAAGTTAATTTTTCGCTTACTCAAATTCATACCGCTCAAGTTAATAAAACAGTAAGTATGCCATCATCAGTCGCTAAGTTATTTTTTTCGATCGTTTTTTAATTCCCCATTAAGAATTTTATTCCTAAAACTAACATGTACCAGCTGACAGAGGTAAAACCTAGCATATACTGAATTCAAATGGTAAAAGCTCGATAAAATCGTCGTATTTTCAGAAATACTTACATTTACCAACTCATGTCGGTAAATCATAAGACTTACACTTAAATCTTAAGATTAACCGTAGTTCGAGCTTTTACAGTAACATAGACAAAAAATAATTTATACAAATCGAATTATTTAAAAAAGTATCACAATATTGAATATTTGGTGCTCATTTCTTTTATTTTTGAGGACCAACAAGTAACCATCAGATATAATTTTTACATACATGCAAATAAAACATACTTTAACGACCTGGTTTTTCTTGTGTTGGAAAATAACTAAAAAAGAAGTGAAAAAAGTCATGTATTTTTCTAATTAAATCCATTCTTACTCCCATAAAATGTACAAAGCTTGTGTCTGTTTTCTATTTCTACTAATACATAATTTTATTGGCTATCGCATGATATAAAATATTTGCTTATTAATGTTAAGCTACCCACGCTTTCACTTATTTTTGAAGGAAGAGGTGAAAACTAAAAATTAAAAACTTAAATCCTTGTAATTTTACGATAAATGGGTCAAGCCCCAAGTATTTTCGTCGATAAAATTGTCTATAGATTACGCCCTTAAAGTTTGATCACTACATGCCCGGACACACTGTATAGTGCTCATTGAACTTAGAAGGAATAACATAAAATATGTGCTTAATATTATTAAGGGTTGTACCCTAGCTAACCAGCGCCACCATATTTTTTCTTGATTACTTTTGTTATAGACCGAAATTAAAAAAGAGGTTTGAAAAATGTATAATATGTATCAAAGCTATTATTTTAAATAATTGTTTGAATTCATTAGATATTTGCAGCAAGTTACAGATTTAATTACTGCTAAAAGTTACCATTTTAGCTAATTTTGAATTTCGAAGTTGCAGAATATAATTTTAAAAGTAGCTTAGATATGGCTTTAACTATTTACAAACCACTTTTTTATTTCGGTTTGTAACAAGAGAAATCACGAAAGATTATCTGTGTGGTAAGTTTTAGAGGGGTAAGTAAGTTCCTTAAATATTTTTGTTACTATTACTTAAAAAAATAGATTAAAAATGTACTCTTCGTGCTGTTGTTAATGTTTTTTTCGTGCTAATGTTTTTTTTCTTATCCGCCGCCCCCTTTCATATGCCGCCCGGGGCCATGGCCCCCCTGCCCCCCCCAAGCTACGCCACTGAATTTTGTATTACATTATGTAAATCTGGCACACGGTAGTCTTGGCCCACCAAGACGTGACTAAAGAAGCGCAGAGCTCTACCTACCTTTTCTCGAAGCATTTCGTAATTTGCACTATTATGGATTCGGTCTGGAGTCTGGACAGTGCTTGCATATTTATTTCGTAGCAGATTATATTATACCACACTACCCTACGTCACCTACGTGTTTTTTCGGACAAAAGAAATATGTATCTGGATCTGTCATTTTTGTATTAAAATACAATTAATTTGTCATGAGACCCCATTCTAGAGATCTTATAACTTTCAATCTTTGTAACCTGATTATCAAATAATGAATTACTTACGTCTTAATAAAATCAGATTATACCCATATCAGCGGAGTTTCGACAATCCGGCACATCACGACTAAGTGCCCTCTAGAGGGGACTTATTGTTCGGTCTCCTGATAAGATTTCATCATGAGGAAATGTATTTTATTTATTCCTAGAAATATAGTATGGACATACCTAAGTACGTCATAATATACTTTCTACTACATACACACTTGAAGGAAGAACATATTATTTGATCCCTCGATTGGATTTCGTCGGAAATGGGAATGAATAAGCCATGACCATACATAATACAGATCTACAAATGCTATCAATGTATGAATACTCTTTTGTTAGCCATCCATTATGTACTCATTATGGAGGGTGTTAGTTAGATGGTGTTATGATGACAAGAATATTTTGCGATGTGCCATACATATTATTATTATTATACAGTCGTATAGGCTTTTTGGTTAGAGAGTTCCTAATTAGTCCAAAAGGGAACATGGGTTACTCACACCGTAGTCTTCTCAACGAAAGTTTTATTTTTATTTTCAGTTACTATCCAAATTATTTCAATTAACTTTACCTTTTCAAATAGGTACCTAGCAGAATTGTAACCCGATATCCGATTTAATGTTCAAACTAATTTTACTCTGTCAAAACTCGACTGTGAAGTGTCTGTTATCGTTTGAAGTTTCGGACCGCCTCCCTTCTTCGCCAATTACCTCAAGTTGTAATTAGAAGGCGGTGGAAAACTATAGTTAACTATCGGCTGCGATCGAACTTGAATGGAAAATTGAATATTGGAAAATATTAATAGAAAATTAATATTTCAGTGATGTCAGTGGTCAGACTGGCGCTGTTAAATTGTAAATGCAAGGCGAGTTTACTATGAAGTGTCGTATTTTTTAGAATCCTGTTTGCCTATAACTTGATGCTGATAAGTGAATCAGATGACGTGACACTATCTTACAAAAGTCATGTTTATGTTAGTAAGCCCTGAAAATCCTTTATTCAACTATTTCTCGCTCGTTCGCTTGTTTTCATTATTCATTTTACCTTGCACTTGAAGAATTTACGCCGCATTTCATATTATACATGTGGCAAATATTTAAATCAAATGCCACAATAAGGTGCGGCCTTCACGAGATTTTTGTGATGCTTTTTATTATGCACACAGCGGCCTTATCACCGATCATTCTTCAGATCCAGGGCTCAGCCCTCGTGAGACCGCGGCTTAATTTGCATATTCAGACACCAACTCGTTATAATTCAATGATAGTTCTGTTGGTTCTAACTTCTACTATGTACTTGAAATAGTTTCAGACATGGGCGGAAGAGACAGGCTCGCGAAGTTTAGGCATTATTAATGCACGAACTCTGACCTTATGATATTAAAATCAATACTCAATACTCAATACGTTTCAATCATTATTGTTTTTTCTGTCAAAGTGACATAGAATTAATAACTTTACAAAAAAAAACTTTTATATTTGCTGTCTCTGACATGGAACTTCACTATATCGACAGGAAATGAAGGAAGGCTAAAGTCACTTAATTTACCTAGGTGGGATTTTAGGGTTAGTGGAGCATTGTAAATTAGTTCAGGTAGTTTTCCAAAGCTTTGCTCTATTACAAGTTTTGCAGTGAGAAATTAAGTGCTAAGAGACGCTGTCGTTGGAACTATGCCAGATCCCTGATGGTGTATAAACTCTGACCATTAAGCCAAAGAAAATAGAATCTTAATTAGTAGAATCTGTGCGACGACCAATCCAGTTCTTAACAGGTAGATAATGCTCTACAAAATATAGTCCAAAATTGCTTGTACTTGCTACTGGTAATTTAATGTGATAATATGAGTGAAATCTAGGAAAAATAAACAATACCTACGCGTGTCTACAATTACTCTGATACAATACACAAAGGTTTAGATTCTGTCTGTGCAATTCGTGCGTGAACATTTTCTTTCAACATACGGAGTACATTTCTTGGAAAATGATCAATTTTTATCTGAAGCCACGTCTGAATCAGATAAACTTATTTACTCCACCAGAATACTTATTTTTCGGTATTGTCTATTATGTGTATTTTTATCTTGAGTCTTTAGGGTGCGTGAGACGTGAGTCACTGTGTCACTTTAATGCAGATATGCTCGAACTAAATGGGTTAATTCTAAGTATTAAAATTTACTATCATCTTTTTCCATGGAATATCGTCAATGATTTTTAGAATTTTTACAATGTAGGAAACGACCCTCATCATCATCATCATCATTTCAGCCACAGGACGGCCACTGCTAAACATAGGCCTCCCCTAATGACTTCCACATCGCACGGTTGGTAGCGGCATGCATCCAACGTCTTCCTGCTACCTTTATCAGATCGTCGATTCACCGTGTGAGTGGACGTCCGACGCTGCGTTCTGGAAACGACCCTATTTGTTCCCATGTCGTCACTAAACCAATAAAAATGGCGTAGATAACCGGTTCTTTGTTCGCAGGCTCCATCACGATCCTGTCGTACGCGTGTATGGGTCGGACCCTGTGTTCCGTGCGGCCGCCCTTCGACATTGACGAGGGAAACGTCAGCATGCAACAGGTGAGTCATTAGTTATAACGTGCCATAAACTTTACAGTTATTGTGCTGACGGTGCGGCCAAGTTTATGTGGCATGCGGTTATAGCCGCAAGTGACAGCATTGAACTTTAATCGTGGGATATTGCTTCTTATATTTTTATAACGCAATAAGCAAACGTTATACCTAGGCAATAATTCAGGTACCTTGGACATTCATAGTGGCTCTATTTATAGGCTGTAACTAGACAGTAAACTGAGAGTAATATTTTAGGTGATAGTGTAATGGTGTTATTATTTTAATAACAAATACTTTGTTCTCGTAGCCACCTTGTTAAAATAACATATATGCCACATAATCTTATTATCTTATTTATTCTTAATATTATCTTAAGGGTCTGGCTACTTGAATATTAAATTTTAATAAGTACTTTCCATTTATTTAGAACGAAAGAAAGACACCGAAAAATCTGTTTTACCTATTCGTCTATAAATAAGCAAATAAAATAACATTCTGAATTATTCTACGATTGCACAAAACTCAGTATTCACAGTCAAACAGTGTTTAATCAGAGAGAAAAGAAAAATATTTATTCAAATCAACGCTTTGCAGCGAAGTCGACAGTTTGATTGGGCAGTTTGTTTTCAAACTTTTAAACTGTATACAAATGCATTGGATCAGTCGAATTTATTTTAAACTTTAAAATCCAAGCTGTCGCGTCTTCAGACTTTTTATTTCTAGAAAGAAATATACGACATCCGTGAGGTCAGATAGCCATTTTCTTTACGTTACCTATTTCCTCTTTACACATTTTAAAAGTACGAGTATAAGGTTACACTAATGCATTTATCAGTCACTCCAGTTAACGATGCTGGCAAATGCTGGCAAATCGCCGGAAAAATTGCTAGTGTCAAATAGCTAGAGTTGAATACATTAGGTGACAAATGGGACATGTTGAGAAATTTAGGAACCATTCCTTAACAACTACGCGAGAAGTCCTAAAAGACAGTGTAGTACGTGCGTGGAGTGAGCAACTGAGACACGTCTCTCCCGCGCACGTTTCGTCGTTTTATGTTTAAAACAATTATGACTTCATTAGTAAGCTTGCTTAGCCATCTTCAAATGTGGCAACGATGTGTCTGACGCAGTCAACTTAATGTGCATAATTTAAAAATGGGCTACTCGTTCAATTAACAAGCTAATTCTAATCATTCAAATATTAATTCCACGTTCCACGCTCAGCTCTTATGCCACGCTTAGCTTTAATGCCACTCTTAGCTACTGAACGCCATGTTAAGCTTAAAAATTATTATTGACGGGATTGCTACGATGTACCTTAATTTCTAGTTTCCAATATTTCGGCATTGTTGCATGCACTATGATCATGTTAAGATGTCACGCTAAGATCTCTCCCTCTACATAATGAACTCTCACGCCACCTTAGGTTGCCATGCCAAGCTAAACTGCCACGCTAAGGTCTCCCGCCACCCTAGGTTGCCACGCCAAGTTAAACTGCCACGCTAAGGTCTCCCGCCACCCTAGGTTGCCACGCCAAGTTAAACTGCCACGCTAAGGTCTCCCGCCACCCTAGGTTGCCACGCCAAGTTAAACTGCCACGCTAAGGTCTCCCGCCGCCACTCTATTCGCTGCAAAGCTTCCAGCAACTGTTTGCTTACAGTCTCAAATCGGAACCGAGCAGACTGGTCAGTAAACTTAATACTGTTTGTGTTTACTCGGTCAGGGTCCGCCGCGTCGGCTCTAATCCTGGAAAGCAAACAATCGATTGAAGTGCTTCGGAATGTTTTATTATGATTGTAGACTAGTGAAAACGGCACTAATTTAAAAATATTAATAAATTAATGCAATGAAATCATATGAAATTAAGGCGGCGTGATCAATTTAATTGCTCAGATACATCGTATAATCGAATATCATCTGACTGACTCAGCTTGATAACTAAATTAATTTTAGACTGCGAAAGAGAATTAGTATAATAAAAAAAAAGTGATAAAAATGGAAATTTTCACACAAAAGATTCGTAACTTAAGCCATCTAAAAACTTGCAAGCGTAGTAGACAAACAAGGGAACAGATTGATTGAATCTGCAAACTTTCCACTAGATCCGATCCGACAAACAAGCGAAGAACGTGAAAAGAGTTTAAAGCTTTTTAAAAGAGATTATTCACGCTTGGACATATAGCTCTCTCGGGAACTAATTTACACGCGTATTCACAAACATTACTTTGAGGCCTCATAGTGCGCGTGGACGCACAGGGTCCCAAAAACCTATTCATAGACGATACTTCAGTGGTGACAAGCACTATGTGTCCCTTAGAATAAACGCAAAGCTAAGGTAGCCAGGGAGCTGTATTACGCAACGCATAGTGTCTATTTATGTCAAAATTTTTTGGTTATTCTCGTTTTTGAGGTTTGTTTGCTTTATTTATGGTTGTATTCGATTAACATCATCTTACAATGGATAAACAGTAGTGAAGACTAATTTGATAATTATATCAATGAGCAAAGTGGAATAAGTACCAGAAAAGTGATACGGGATTCCCAAAATCCCTTTTATTATTACAATTCAAACGAATTACGAAATAAATTAGTGGTAAAAGTATGAAAAGTATTTCATACTTTTACCACTGATAAAAGAAGACCTGAGGATATTAACTGCGAGAGGCCTACCAGTGCCTCTGTATCAGTTGCTAGTGGCAAATAAAACATAAAATTATTTATGAAGTTTTATTTTCATCAATTTTCAATGTCTAATTTAAATTAATGTATTTGGAAATCATTAATCTCATTTTCATGTTCTAACTGTCTTACAAAATATTTTCTCTTGCTATCATTTTTTTTTCTCTTTGTAGCTTGTAGCCCCAACTCGTGCAAAGCCTGGTCTTGTTGTATATTAAAAGTGGCGCGTTTGATTCTTGTTTCTGTCTTAATCTTAATTCTTGCTACTACTAATCTTAATTTCTTGCTACCTGAAAAGCAAATTATGAATTTAACTTCTATGAGTATACTCTGCTTGGTTATTCGTCATAAATCTACCTATTATATTTTATAAACATTACTTACTAGTGGGTGTTGAGAACGTTTGATTGATTTCTGAGAAAGTTCTTTTTACTTTGGGTCTTTAAATTATTCCAGCAGCTTTTCAGTTGATGTGTGAGCCTTTGTGAAACATAAAATATGATTGAGGATTGTAAGCCACTGTTAGATTTTCCCAGGCCTGCTTCTTCAACTCGATATTTTAGAGAGGATAATAATATGCTTGTCTTCAATAATAGGTCGTTCTCTTATTATAGCTACAATCAGCTCTCTTTCGGAAAAAAAAACGGCAGCTTTATTGATCTGAAAAATAATGATTTTCACTATTTTTATTTTTATTATTGATTGAAAATAAACAATGAAAGTATTCATACTAACCTGATAGTTGTAGTTTAATTCATATTTATTAAATTCACAAATCCACAAAATATTATCACATAAAGCCGTTGCACCGTTTGAATGACAGGAATGTCAGTTAGCGGAGTGAAGTGCGTAACATAAGCGAACCAATCACAGAGCTCTATTCAACACTTTGATTTTGCATAGTCAAGGGTCGTTTAAGTATTGTTTATGAATTGAAAGGCTTGCCATATGGAACGCATTGAGAAATGTCACATTTCGCATAGCGTTGCTGCTCCACATAGGTAAGTATTGTTTGTGAATACGGGTGTAATAGAGCTTGCTTTGTGTGTATTTTGTTAAGTGAAAAGTTTCGGACTAATATTATGCGGTATATTTTAATTTTGGTCAGATTTTATTACAACTTACAGTTATACGTAGACTTCTAGAGTAGTATTAATTTCCTATTCATATTCTTGTATCAGACTTGTAAGAGTGGCCAAAAAGAAATCAGTTTAAATAAAAATCGCAAAATGTGATGATGATAAGCACAAAACTTATAAAAGGCTGGACAATATACTAAGTTTTCAAATATTCGTTGAAGTGCGAGGAAGATTCTTGTGAAGAAAAAATTTGAAAAGTTTTCCGGATACATTTCAAATTTCAGAAAAATGGGCGTTCCTTTATCTAATAGATTTCTATGTGAACATTTATATGACCTGGTACGAGATATATCGGTCCAGGTAGATTATTTTCAATATGAAACGTGTTTTAAAAGTCACAGTCATCAAAATTTTAATTGCTCACACAAAGCCCGATAATCTAAATTCCAATTTGCTTTTTGAAGTCCAACCGAATGAGCAATTTGCCAATTTAGTTTAAAACAAATTATTGCTGAGCTCAGGAATATGCCCGTATGTAATTGTGAGAGTTAGGGCTTGTTCCCACGGCTATCCAGTTTTGCGGGAATCAGTAATACAGGATCTCGCAAGACTGTTGTGGGAACACAGTACCTCTAGTATGAACAACTTTCGTCTTCGAATCGTTTGCGTATTCGACAAAATTCGATACTCAACCTTCGAATTAGAAGATTTATATAATTCGAAGATTGAGTATCGAATTTTATCGAATACGCAAACGATTCGAAGACGAAAGTTGTTCATGCTAGAGGTACAGAATCAACGACGCTATCGTTGTCTGGCAAATTGTAAATACAAAAACTACTCGTACTGATTATAATATTAGTTATGACTGTGTGTTTTAAATTCGAATCACAGACGACACAAAATCTAAAGAATCGGTTTTATACGAAACACTGCAAACGGGACGTTCGTGTGAACGTTAATTAAAATACTGCATATACCTACTACTAAACGGGATCCTGCAAAAAACGGAATGTCTCCGTGGGAACAAGCTCTTGAAGAACACCAACAGCAATAAAAGGTCACACAGATCAATAAACTCTAAAATAAACACAATTAAAGCGGATCAAAGACAATTATTTGCATACTAACATGTAATGGAAATCCAATGTTAGGCCTATGTTAATTAATACATATATATGAATAATGATAAACAAGTATCATGAATATCATGATTAAACCTTTAGACAATAATTTATTCGTAACAGCTTAAGACATTTTCTTAATTTTCTATGTATTGTCTTCGAACCGAAACCACGAACCCTCTGACATGGGTTCGCGGCTAAGCATCGGTGACATTTAATTTCGACACGGTTTGGGAAAACATTCTTTACAGGGGTGTTCCAATAACGTTCTAGAATTAAACTCTACTGGCTCTTTGGAACAACATAACTATTGCACGTTGGCTCACCGCAGTAATCCAATGGTCGACAGGGGTCGATATCGTATCGAAATCCGATGCCTGAAGCCGGTAGCTTACCTCTACCACAAAACTATGAAGGGAAACGAATGAACACACACATCACTGCGTTTTGCTCTCCTGTATTATCAATATGGCATAGGGAACGCAGAAATGTGTATTGAAAAGGATTTGCTGTGAAACTTCGCGGCGGTGTGTGCTAGCGGCATAAATCATTGGGATTTTTTCTCATCCCAGTTATGAAAAGTTTTTGGTATTTAATAAAGTAAAAATGTTTAGAATTTCATAATTGTCTGTCTCGCATGATCCAAATATTGAATAACTTGAAAAAAGGGGCTGACGATATAATATTCTATTAACTAACAGTGAATTATACGTTTATTTTTTTCGACATTCGTCCATTTGCATGTTAGGTCGTGATGATTTTTATGGAGTACAGTATTTTTTTCATGCGCTTCATGAAAAACTGAGTTTTGTATCATTTCACAAGAATAACACAACCTAACATAAACTAAGCTTGTACCCTGAATGGCTTAATAACCCTTCAGACGAAGTAACATATGAGTTGTCAACGTTGAAAAATGAATACGAGTATACTCTGGTAGGTAGCTAGAACGAGTACAGGCAATGTTTCCCCCAAGACAGAAAGTAAAATGAGTGTTTTATTATTAACTCCGTGCATTCTGTATGAACATTCATAATGTAAAGTTTTACTTGCTAATATTGTAACGAAATTAGGTACAAAGTATATTTAGCAACGTTATTTTAGTACTTTTATGTTACTCTTAAAACTTTGTGCAGTGCAAATGTTAAAAAGCACCAAACATTTTTGTAATTTAACCACCGCTATAAAATAAACATTAAGGTCGGTCTAAACTCAAAACACACAAACCAAACGGTGTTTTCTTTAATTACAAATTGAACTTACACAACGCGTTGGCCAACACGATGTGGTGTCGATTATGTATTATGATTAAATAATAATACAAGTTGATTATTGGACTTGTACGATTTAGAAGATCTGAAAAACGACAAAACACAAACATAAAATATCATGTTCTTTAAGTGAAATGGATTGAAACGAATTCCCACTTATTTTATTCCGCAAAATGGGACAGGAACTATTAAGAGCCCCATTTATTTCCGCATATTTCAGTAGATGGCCGTCCGCTACAAATAAATGTTTTCTCTCAAAGTAAACTGGATTCCTCGCAGTTTATTTTCTTTAAGTTACAGTCGGACTGCATTCCTTTCTTCAGATACGACCTGCAGTCGGAGTCTTAGAAAAACGCCTTGGCTCTGATTTATTTGTGCAAGGTACAATTATTTCATTAGAATCGTAACAGGGACAATTTGTCGTGTAGATCTCAACTAGACAAGAATCATGTGGCAGTTTATCTCTTAGAATAAACTTGGCTTTCACTGGGTGACTTTTTATTAGCGGGCACGCTGTAAATCCTGGGAACGAGAGGTGGGAATAGTCCCCTAAAAAGGTGCAGTAGTGGAAACGTGAGGGATAAATATTGCGTCATGTAGTGCGTGGTGACCTATGCTTACTATGCTATCGTAAAACTACTCAGGCGGACACTGTGAGCATTGCCACGCTTTCCTGGCTAGCCATAAAATGGGATGGGTGACGTGTTACGATGGCACATTCGTATATTACAGTTTGAAATGGCATTCGTAGTTAATTCGCTGTTTCGCTAGCAATTTAAGCGATTAACTAAGAATATAAAATAATGATAGATTTTTTATAAAATTAATTAATCAATTAAAAACAAAGGCCTACAAAACAATGAGTGGCCGACTCAAACGCTTTGTGCAGACATATTTCCCCCAAAAATCTGATTACTAAGCCATTGTGGCATTGTTTATTAAGCCAAGTTGTGTTGGCATAGTAAACAAGACCCGACAAAATGATAAACAATTTAAGCTTTTTACATTTTGATTGGGTTGACGTGATGACCGCTGGCTTTTACAAAATGTTAAACGTTTTAACATTATTCTCTAAAACAGTTTAAATGACATGAAATGTTTGTGACTTATCTTCGTTGTACTATGTCTTTCTCTTGCTCAGGGATTTTAAGTATCTAGAGCTTTTATAACATAAACTTTGACTGAGTACAAGTTCTTTACACAAAAAACTATCAGGTCTCATTGCAGTTGACCCCTCACCGATATGTAGCTACATACAACTTATTTATACATTCGTTAAATTAAGCTTCATTAGCAAAACCACAAAACAGCAAACCTAAAACCTCCTGTCTGCTTTTGCCTTTTAGATGTTAATTATCAATAATAATGTTATAATGATTACTGAAATATTATACTCAATAAACTTAATGTAATTTTGATTTCGCCGAATAGCACAGCACAGACCATTGATAAACTTTCTGTGAATTTAAAGCACAGAATATTCAAATTGAATAGTTTCAATTATCAATATTAATCGGAGAAGGCTTCGTTAACGCATACGCTCATCGTATAGTAATTAAAGACAAATTAATGTCTTCAATATTCAAAAGCGTGTAAACATGTTGATTAGTAGCAATTACCTTGGATGTAGTGTGATTGGTAATTGTTTGATTAAACTATATCTCACGCTCATTAAAGCTTGTGGCATTAGAGAGTTTGGCGCGAATTCGTGGCTTGGCGTTGCCATGCAGATTGACAGTAAATGTGTGAAGCGTACCACGGCGTGAGGCGACAATAGGCTGTCAGATTTCTCCTTATCTCGTCCTTTCACGAAAACAGAGTTTTATTCGAATGATTACTGTCACATGGTTCATCCGTTTAGATCTCGTTAAATATCAATAACTAGCGGCCGCCCGCGACTTCGTACGCGTGACCTCGTTTTACCCCCGTTAGATATCATGTTTATAGATGGCGTTTCACGGCTTCCCCCGCATGAATATTTACGAACGTCAAAAACAGTAGTTTTTCCAGCGCTAGAATTTACATTTACATTTACATTTTAACCAATGACGATAATACTGTAAAGTTTCAACAAAATCCGTTGTGTAGTTTTTGCGTGAATTTATAATATTAGTAGGATGACTTCATAAAGTATAATGATTATTCGAATAATTATAATAAAATTACAATCACAAACTAATAACATCTGCTCACAATAGCAGACTGGAAATAATACAAAATTCGAGTCACTGTGCGGATAAAGGTATTTACTGTAGCGAGATCGTAAAAACGTTCTCAATTGTTTCTACTCTACTGGCTCCATTGATAACCAGATAAATTAAGGCCGTGACTCGTCAGTCGACTGTTCAGAATAATCCAAGGGGACGAATTTTTACATGAAGAAAATGGGAATCGTTACGAAAACCTTTTTTTTGCATATTATTGTGAACTTTTCTGAATATTTTGTTATAAAAATACCAACTAAAGGACGTCCGCTGCTAGAAAAAAGTCTCCTCCAAATATTTTCACAACGATTTGGCCCTGCGCTGACTTCATACAGGTTCTTCCCGCGATCTTCACTAGATCATAGTCCACTAAACCATCTGATAACCAATCTTTGTGAAAATCTTTGGGGAAGGCCTTTGTCCAGCAGTTGACGGGACCATATTATAAACATATAATATAGCGACTTCTGCCCATGCGCTGGAGTGACCAGGTCAAAACCACACTCAATGGTCCACTCCACGAGTGCACAAGAAAATCTGAAGTGCGGGAGGAGTGGCGACGGATTGTGGGGCTTGCCACCGGACCTGGTGTGACGACCACGACCACTCTGGCAAGAGTGTTGCGACGAAGAAGAAGAATAGCAACTTCTAAAGTTTGACAAGTCAAGTCCTATAAAATAGAACAAGACTTCTGTAATTAACATGTTCCCAGTTGATGAAAGAGTAGCCTGAATACCGCTTTTGCGAGCGGTTCTATTCTCTTTATGCTGTAGGTTGTTTGAGATTACAAGAACAGACTTCTGTAATTAGTATGTTTCCAGCAGGGCCTGCGTCTGATGAAGGAGCGGAAGCGTGTGGCGTGGATCCTGCTTCTACTAGCGGTGCTGTTTGCGCTGTGCTGGATGCCGTACAACACCATGCAATTGCTGCTCGACATCAACGCGGTCAATGCTAAGGACCTCAGCATGTACCTGCCTTACGCCTTGTTTATTGGTGAGTTTGGTGCTTTTACTTAAGTCGTAGTTAAGTTTATATAGGTCTTTTGTAACTTAATTTTTAACCTGATGACAGTAAATTGTTAAGTTGAGATGTATCTAATGTTGCTACCAGGGCTACCTATAAGTCACCCAAAACTAGGTTCCATAACTTACAAAAACCATAAATATAGTGTTAGGGCTCATTCGTTTTGTCTTGATGAGGCTCTTACAGAATGTACCAAATTCTATTGTAGTTAGATTAGGTACATGCAGGTTTTTATTTCACTTTAACGGTTGAATGCACCGATAGTTTATTTCGAACCGGTGTTTTGTTACTAAGGGTCATTATTTACATTTGGTCTTCGCTTTAGCTAGATGATAGTCAGGCAGAGAATAGAATAGTTCCTCGCAATTTCTTAGGAATGATTCTCGCATTTATCAAAGACTTTAACATAATTATGCTAGCTGTACTCGCTTTTAACTTTGTTTTAAAAACAGTAAGCCAGGTCTTGCTTATTAAATTATTTTAACCCTCCGTCTGAAGTGCACGGGCTGTATAATAAACTTTCTGGGGCATCATAGAGCTCAGTGAAAACACCTCACAATTTCAGAAGGCGTAAATTTTGTGTATTTACACTCTACACCCTAAGGTTGCTTCTTATTTGTCCATACGATTTAGTATTCATATCAATCTGTGACCGACGTACAGGAATCTTACATTATGGATAAGTTTCATTCATCTTTCATTCATCTGACCTAATGTTAATAATATTAGTACCCAATGCATGTCCATCATATCAAATTAACCCCTACGTGAGTTCCAGTGGACCACGTACGTGACATTTATAATATGGTGTTTATGGAAATGTGGAGCCTTGGGAGCTCAAATTATGTCCCCTATATTTCACCCATAGCATGTTTTTACAAGCTCATAATATGTTCATACGACAATTTTGTAGGTAGAGGAAAATATATTCATGTGCTTTGCAATAAATAATGATGGTTTATAGTAGGTAGGTACCTATTATGTACCTTAGAACCTTTTCAACCTTTTGAATTTATTTTTTATATTATTTTTTATCACCTTGTTTGTTACTGCATTTAAAACTTCCAATCGTTAGTACTAAGGTACTTCTGTGGTTTGACACGTTAAAAATAAGATTATTTTGGTTTGTGCAGGTTTAAGCACTTTCAAAGTAACTTATCTAATTAGTCTTAATAAATATTGTATTGTGAGATTCCACAAACTGTTGAAGTTCTTCTAAAAAGGCTTTGTGCGATGCGAAGAGTTATTAAATAAATAACTTCTAAAAAACTTACTAATACGTAGGTACTTTTAAATAAAGACAAGTAAAATACCTTACAGATATAAGAAATATTTTACTGAAAATTAACGTTCCCATTTGCTAAATAACATTTTACTGAGAAAATTTAAATACACTTACAGATACTTTGCGGTAAAGAAGATACGTGAAAAGATTCTTTACCTAAGCCTTGGTATTTTCTCTAAAGAAGAAAATTAAATAAACAAGCTCATTAAAATAGAAGTAATAAGAGTAATTCACAAAAAGTTTTCGTTGTCAAGTGTAAAAGTTATGTAGTATATTTTAATAAGCATAATTATTTCAGAAATCCTAAAAGATAGTAATGTAATACCTACTAAGCTTATTCATCTGACAAGCTTGAAACGTAAATACTGTTCTTATAACAAAGGGTCCCTTTTCTATTAAAAAATAATATTATAAAATTCAGATGAGCTTTGTATCTTTTCATGAAAAGTATTAAATCATATTAAGCAAATATTTACCGAAAGAGGTAAACTGTTCCAATGTTATCTAAAAAGAATACTCGTGGATACACTTAAGTTCATGACTTTAATTAATTTAAAAAAAAAAAGAATAATTTGGTATACAATTTTATATTTACTATTAATTGAATATTCCATTATATTTATTTTTATTATAACTTTAACATCAGTTCATCTTGTATGTTTTCAATTGTTTATTAAATAGATATCTTGGTCTCTTGAATAATCAATTGATTAAAGAGCCTCAAACTTTCCATTCTAAAATCAATCCGAATTAGTTTTTACTAAAATTAAACATCAACACAAAATTGAAACATTAACAAAAATGTATTTACCTATTATTTATTTCCTTTGAGTTGGAAAGGAGGCATCGAATTTTCTCGAACATTGTAGAGTAATAGGAACCATCACAGCCTTCATTCATCCTCCATGTTTGATCATTTATCATAGACAAGAATATTAGAGGTCTATCCCGAGCCTCTGCTAGCTTCCTGTAACCAGTAAGTACAGTCAGAGGCATCTAAATGACTTTAAACTTTGCTGCAAGCAAATAAGTTTCAATATTCGACAGAAGGTCTTCACTGTCGTGCAGCGACTGTACGTGTAGGGGAGACCGAGGTAAATTGTATCAGAGGAGAGTAAAGTTGTGGCATTGTTGATTGTTTATTACTAGATGTGCCCGCGACTTCGTACGCATGGAAAACAAATCGTAATTTTCACATATTATCTCACCGTCTAAACCTTCTATGGACTACAACAATAATTTCAAACCCAAAATCAGTCCAGCCATTCTTGAGTTTTAGCGAGACTAACGAACATCAATTCGTTTTTATTATTACTAGAGAGCTCGTAACAGTGCGCGTTTTTTAGTTCAATAAGTCTTAAGTTGCGCGCTGCTGCGAGCTCGCTGATAGTTAACAAGTTTCATAATCGACAAAATCACAACTTTCCTCTGATACAACTCACCTCGGTCTCCCCTACCTTACTCAAACGTGTCTAAATTGCAACGAGACACGAATTTATGAGATGTGACTGGCGTGAGCAATATTGTAGGTAGCTACTCAGAGTCAATGCTTCTTTGATCGACGAACTGGCTGTATTTGAGATGGGACAGATAGGACAAAGATCACCAATATTTCCATATGGATACTTATTAAATATGAATAATTATGCATATATTTTAGACGCTATTAGAGATTACATTAATTGTTAAGTCTTTTAAAGACAGCCATATTATATTTTATAAGCTAAGTATGTACTGTGAAGGTAAATAGAGCGAGCTATGCAGGTGGGTTCCATGCATTAATTATAATCAGTACTAAACTAACTTTAACTATAGATATAGAATATTGTTTAAATAAATAATAATAAGATAACCACTTTAACTGAAAACACTATTATTTACTTAAGTAGCCCAATCTAGCATTGTAGTAAATAGCAGTCTTGTTGTTTACAAAATGCATTAATTAAGGTATAAAGTTCATAATAGCCAAGGCCATTCGGCCCAAAAGTTCAGTGGCGAGTCCCAAATACACAAAGTGTACATGTATGTATGTCGGATAAACCTGGATGGCATTTAAAACTAAATCACAGATGTGTATTTAATTTTAGTTTTCCTATCTGCATGTTATTTTGTTACAAGCTCAGTTTATGTAAGCCCTGATAATATGATTATGTTGGATAAAATGTTATAACTCGAGTGTATTAAAGCTGTATTTTTTGGGAAATATCTACCTGGCTTTTTCCATTTGGATGTTTTTTTAAATATTTTTGTACAAAGGGGAATGAGCTCATTATAATACTCGTACGTTTCTTTGCCATAATTGTTGGAGTCGGCAAAAACTTCCAACTGATTTAGCGCTATTTTAAGACGATAATTAAACGGTCGAAGATACGTACTTCAGAGTCGGGGGTTTCCTAGAAAAAAAAAGATTTTCTATTTTGTTAGAGGGAAGCGTCGACTTTGTTGTTGTTTACGCTTGCCGGGACATGTCTCGATGCCAAACCCCTTTAATTTGACCACCGTCCTCGGTTCTACGAAATACAGTTGCCTCAATGCTTTTTATAAAAAAGGCACTTTTTGGTCTTTTATTTTAGCCGCTAACGAGGTCCCGAATGTTTTATGTGTGACGTAGAGTCGGACGTTGGTAATATTCTAACACGTTCCACATTTTGATAGGTAATGGTTGGATGTACCGTTCGATTTATTTGAAAATGTTGAAAAATTTTATGGAAGTTTATTTGCGAAATTAATAAAACCAAACTAATATGAGGCGTGAGGAAGTGCTGAAGTCTCTGTTGTTGAGGCGTATCAGGCTTGCAGCCAACTACGCTTCTAGAAACTTTAAGACAACTAGAAGTAGTGCACTGCAGCGCTGTCTCACGCCTCTAATATTATGTTGGTGTCCTTAAAAAGTTTTAGACCAAAAAGTGTCGGTAGCAATTCACTACTACTTATTGCTACGTAGCAAAGTAGAAAATCCTGTCGTGCTTCGTAGTATTAGTTTATTTGTTCCAAATAATTACACACGTTCGGGTCGTCGCCAGCACCGCCTGTTCTGTGCCCCCGATGGCCTGCGCACACTGCATGCTAACAACACNCCCGATGGCTTGCGCACACTGCATGCTAACAACACACCGACTCCCAGGGCACTCTGTCTTTTGAACATGTTTACGCAAACCGTCCAAGACGTCGACATCTTTGCCAACTCCTTAGAGTGTTTTGTAAAAAAATTAAGATTGTATTTGTCTACTAACCATAAATAGATATAAGTACTTACTAACATTAAATGTAATTTCAAATTGGCAATGTGAGCGCTTTGGATATAAATCTGTAAGCTCACTTGCATGTTAATTAAATAAATAAATAAATAAATAAATAAAAACTTAGCTTATTACAACTACATATTTCGTCCGTCGTATTAAACATTAAAATTGAGTTTAAAAATGACAAGTTACTCTTAGATCCTACTTAATGGTACCTAATTTCGCATTTCAAAACTAAAGGGTTTTTGAATTACTGTATAACTATGTATTGACCTACTTAATTTCAAACTTTTCTGTCCAAGGGGTCTCTAACAATCAGTGTGATGTATCTGTTTGGCAAACAGTCCTATCATGTCCTCTAAAACTTCGTATGACCCTCTAAAAGTTGAAGCAATCAAAACAACATTAGTCAAGTTGACTGCTTTCAGAAGAACTCAAACACGATCGGATTCGTTTCATCCTCTTA